TACAAAATAGAATTTACTGTTAGTTTGGAACAAATTAGTATAAACTGTCGATTAACGTAATGATTATTCATTTGAGGCTCTTAAAAGGGAGAATATCGGAAGTACTTTAATACAAGCTATTAGGCCAAGCATTCCGGAGTAGTTTTAAAGAGTCGCTGCTTGTGCCGTGGACAGTCAGACAATGGTCGTAAATTGGATTGTCAGTGCCCCGAGGATCAGTGCAGTTGTACCTAATTGGCTTCGAATTACAAGTCTGGCGCCATCTTGTTCTATCCCACCACGATACGAGAAATGGCCGGACTTATTATATTGTAAAATTACACTTACTATTTACATTCTATAAAATATAAAATTGACAATAATTTTAACAAGTTTAAGGGTATTTATTATGTGATTACAATATGATACTATAAGCACTTAAGCAGTTTCCAACTATTATTTATTTAATATTTTTATAATTGTACTACGATTATTTTAACATTTTAGTAAAATTCTTATATTTGATACTAATGACAATATAATCTTTATTTCTCCTTTACAAAATTATAAAATTTGATTCATTAGCAAAGATCGGGAGTTCGTATATTATTTTACCGTAAACTTAATTAAGCAATTATCGTAAAATTAATTAACAAGAACACATTCAATATGTTCATTACAGATACAAGTTAAGTTTCTGATATAGAAGATTTTATGGTGGCTTTGGTGCTAGTGCCGGCCATTAGGATGTTGGCAGAGAGCCAACAGCGAGGTGCGAGTATATTTGTACGTTTAACATTCAAGGAAGTGAGGAGTCTTGGAATAGAAGCACATGGAATGACGATCTCGATAAATAAACTAGGGATTTGCGCTCCAAAAAGACGAAATCAAATTTAATGGGCTATTTCGGAGATAAAATAAATTTGTACGCACGTTAACAAAATAACAAGGTGCCTAGTTAAGGAAAGTATTATAGCCACATCCGGTTTTTATAATGAGATCTTGGTAAAAGTTTTGTTACCTAATTTGCTTGTATTCTTTTCTTATAGGTGATAAATATATAATTATCAATTATATTTCCACTTTCAATAACATATGTCCGCATTTAATACATTTAAAGTATGGCGTACTTCACAAACATCTGCTTAATTTTAGAATATGCAATCAAAATTTCGCAAAACAGCGTTATTGACCGACAAAGCGATTCTAGGTTATAAATGTTTACTGCTGGTTAGCGTTTCTTGCGACACCTAACAGTCTATTATATCTATAGAGCTCACGTATTGTTTGCAATACTCGTACTCATATTTCGGAATCCACGGTATGATGTCAAATAATAACCATATTATCACTATTACAAATGCATATCTAATTAATGTATGCGATAAGATGGTGCAGTTGTTTGTTCATAATGAAGTTTATAATTAACGCCTTAATTAGTTACTATAGTTACGATATACGCATATATATAAATATTTTCATTATAATCTGTTTGTTTACCTTATTTTAAATTATTATATACGAAATAAAGGAAAAATATTAATAAATTGTGACTTAACCTTGTTACGGAATATCCTATAACCTATAATATATACATATGTATGTTTTTCGTTTTTTATTAATATCATTCTTGATTTAAACATTAAAAATATCAAACTAACACAATAATAAATAACAATATCGAGAATATCTATTATAATAAAATTGTAACTAAGCCGAATCTGTACATTAAATATTTTTTGGAAAATCTTATTGAAATAAACATTATTATCGATTCAGAGGCCGAATCTATAGTTTTTAGAATTTTTGTCGGTGTGTCTGTCTGTCTGTTACCGCATCACAGAAAAACCACTGGAGGGATTTTGATAAAATTTGGTATGGTGATAGCTGTTTATCCGGGTCAACATATTATAGGATGCAAAAACTGCAATGTAAGAGTATACTAATCTGTAAAACTTAAGAATTTGCTTTTTGGTTATCTGAACGCGGGCGGAGCCGCGGGCAATGCTAGTTATTTTATTTTTGGGACGTCAAACGCATCACTTTTGAATAATTAAACTTTTTATATGATATACCTATGTTGCGTGAATTCAAAATCACAACTAAGCTCTACAGTTAGCGGCCTCATGTATAAGAGGTATTTTGTTATGACATTTTAACCAAGAAAAATGCTAACCGGCGGAGTTCTAAGAAAAGTCTATCAAATTATATCTATATTATTATATTATACCTAATATTATAACTATTGATTTTGATGCGTTTATTTTTTTAATGGACACATTCTTGAAGAGTACGCACCATACGTTTGCTATATATTCACATGTTCATGCGATATCTGTGTCACAAGACCGACCTACACGGACATCATCAATTGTGGGACATGGAAGAAGCACAGTGTTTTCTAGTTAAACAATCAAATTCTATATTATTTCTAAGTAGCAATTTTCTACTATATATGTAATAAGAAAGTTTACGTCAAATGAGAAGAATTATTTTAACCTTGAATTATCATATAAAATGGTAAAATTGTTTTCTAAAAAAATATCAGTTTTTCTAAACTATAAAACCAATTTTAAACGTTATTTCATTAATATTTTATAGTATCTCTAAGATGACTACTTCTAAGCTAGACTATCTATATCTTATGCATATACCAGGCAGTTAAATTCAAATAACACAAACGTAAACATTCTCAGATAAAAGTTTTAAGTATATCTGTAGTAAAATATTTAAGACATGAGCCTTTAACTTTGTAAAATAAAGTTCGTTTGAAGCCTGACATATGTTAAAGTAAGTCGAGGAAAAAGGTCGCGCTACTTTCCACGTCTACTCGAGGCTCAATAAAGCTGAGAGTAAAAACTTGCACAATCGTCATGTCGCACTGTTCACACGCACTTACATATTTAGATCAATACCTATATTAAAACTTTTCATCTTCTACCGTGTTTACTTTAAAAAATATATTAAGTTTACTTTTGTGCTACAACATTTGACGTAAATAATTTATAATTAGTGTATTATGTTAATTATCTATACATATAATAAAATTCTAACTAAGTCGAATCTGTACATTAAATATTTTTTGGAAAATCTAATTGAAATAGACATTATTATCGATACAGAGTCCGAATCTATAGTTTTTAGAATTTTTGTCTGTCTGTCTGTCTGTCTGTTACCGCATCACGAGAAAACCACTGGACAGATTTTGATGAAATTTGGTATGATGAAAGCTGGTTATCTGGGTCAGCATATAGGATACTTTTTACCGCGGGAAAATATCTCATTTCTGAGAAAAAATACAGAAACTGCAATGTAAGAATATACTAATATGTAAAACCTAAGGATTTGGTTTTTCGTCATCTGAACGCGAGCGGAGCCGCGGGCAATGCTAGTTTATTAAATAATAATAATAATCGACCCTGTATAAAAACTAAATATTTTTTGTTCATAGCATAGCAGAAAATATATAATATCGATCAAAAATACCTGATAAAACCCTTATGCACTTTGCGTTATAAGCCGCCGCTTTCCACCATGTGGTCTCAAACCAGTCCCGACCACAACCGTTCACTTTATTATCACAGCACTAAACTTGTTTCATTATGTACATTATATTTATATAATTTATTAGTTATATTAGCTTTTTATCAGTAAATATTATCCTAAAATGTTTCCGTTGATCAACTTTTTAAAACTTTCACTATAAAAATACTTATTTATATATGTACCTAAATATTTAAAATGTAAGTGGGGCTTGAAGTCACTTTTTGTGACGTAGTAGGTTCATCGGTTAATTTTTATTTTTTATTTTAAGAAGCTATGTACAAGTATGTGTTTTATTAATTTATATATTAATAATTATATTACTCTAAATAAAAAGTAGAGCACACAATAATATTATGCACAAAATACTAATGTTTAACATTACATAATGAATACGACTCGCATTTTAAAATGTAGTTAGATCATTTCCAAAGAAGTATATGGCAGATGACCTTGTTTTGTAAATATATTGAACAATAACACATGGCAAGGCCGACTTTATTAATGATACGTAGGACCGTCAGACGTGACAATTAATAATAATAAATAATATAAGAACATAAAAATTAATCGAATGTTAGAAGAAATACAACTATTAAAGCATATTGAAAAAAGAAAAATGACATTAAACACAATAACTAGAATCAATGCATTTGATAATTATTATTTATGTTAATATTCAATTAATTTATATTTTATTATATGTATTTTTTAATTTATTCTTTGTGGCAACTCACAGGGATTATGGGGAATAGTCCTTTGCATACATTTCACAAATTATGTACGTCGGACACATTTTGAATGGAAAAGTATTTGGCAGCTTTCATATCCAAGGTCGGTGCGGATTTTGCTCCCGTTTTCACCGTGACTTTCTGTTTGCTACTTGAATTCATAATGTGACCAAGTTCGTTAGTATAAACATTTTGTTTGCGAATATAATATCCCACAACGTAATGACTTATGCATAATTTATGTTGTAATATTACGAAATATTTTGTAAAGTATTTTTGCGTCTATAAAGTTTAAAAGAAAATTTACATATCCAAAAGCAAAAGATCTCAACGAGCGATTCCCGATAATTCATAAGCTCAGATCAGATGCTATTGATATAAAGCGTCGATGCTCAAATAAATATGCTGTAAGTAATATCTACTGATGCTTTTGATGCACTTCCTCTTTATGCAAACGTTGCACAAACATATAGATACATGTTCAATAGCAACTCGCCTTTCTCCAAATCCGCATGTGTTAACATTACCGACTACACAAACTAAAGAAACGTTCTATTCACTGTCGATCGCTCCATAAATGGCAAAACATTTATGTACTATTGTTATTGTACCTAAAGCCATCTTTTGTTTAATGTGGGTGTCACTTAGGAAGAGATAGAGACAATCTTGTAGAGACGATAATAACTCAACTTTCTTTAAAGAAATATTTGTCTTAGTTGTAAAAGAACAGTTATATTGTAAACTAACCTGAGAGGAATAGGTTGAAAGGGGAAGCGATGTGCTGGGGGATGTGGGGCGACGATGGGTGCTGGTGGGGGTGGAACAGCCACCGGCACCGGTACAGGCACCGGCACAGGCACCTGGTGTAAGGGCGGCAGCGTGCTGTAGGGCGGCGGGGGTACGCTCTCCAGCGCCTCGGGCACTCTAGGCGCACGCGCACGCCTGGCCCGCCGCCGCCGGGGCTCCTCTGTCTGGCACTCCGCGGTCGCTACAGAGAGAGCGGGCTCTCTCTCCGGCACCACACTGTCTTGCTCGGGCGCATCTCGCACCTGCACTATGTTCACATTGCACTCCGATCGGCTCGGCTCTCCGGGGACGCGCACTGAGACCGAGTCCGACTTACGCAGCGGGGCGGGCGCCGGTACTGGCAACCGCATCTCGTGGCGGGGAGGGATCGCGCGGTACGACGCGCGCGCATGACGACCGCCGCTCGGCGACTGGGCCGCAACTCCCGCGAGGCACACGCTCGCGAGGGCGCCATCGGTGCGCGAGCGCGGCAGCGGCGGCGAGCGGCAGTCGTAGGGCTGCCATAGCAGAGAGGAGAGCGCCTCGGCCGCGGACGGCGGCGCGCTCATCTCGCTGCCGCCCGCCTCCCACCGCCGCCTTTACCTGCAAATAACAGTAATTAAGATATAATATTAATACTTTCTTAGATTTACGCGAATAGTTGACGTTTTAAATAAATCTTTTCGGATTTTTTCGCGGATTGATTTGGATTTTTGGTTCCCGACGTTTCGAATGCTTTACAGCATTCATGGTCACGGGAGAGACTGAGGTGTTAGATGTCTCGAAGGTATAGTTGTTACAGACAGCCTACCCACAAATAACAAAATGAAAATTTCACCAATTACCTTACAATATTTTTTATTTTGTTATTGAACATGGATAATTATTTGTTTATTTTTTGCTGTTATTATTATAATTATTACAATTTTAAAAATATTCATTAGTAATCTATATTTAGTGTTGCGATTATTATATTTATAACCATAAAGAACAATATAAAACATAGTATTAATTATTTAAGCCATATAATTGTTCTATGTATAGTTTAAAAAGTTAAAATTAATTAAGGATAGTTATTTTAATTTTATGCTGTTATTTTGATCCACACAGTAAGTACCCAGCCACCTTCCCTATTGAAATTTGGATGTTTTTTTTTAATTTCTATGGCTTCTCGAATCATTCTAGGGCGATATCGGTTTTCTTTCGCGAGGATTTGAGGTCTATCGAAGCGAATATAATGGCTTGGGCGGTCCTGGCTATGTTTGCAGACAGCAGGTGTTGTATTGCGACGATGCTTCACATCAGCTATGTGTTCTATGACCCGGGTTCTAATGGACAATGGAAATAATATTCTTCTGCTACAATCTCAACTGTTATAGTTTGTTATTTAGTCATTTTTTTCAGTCCTTGACGATGAAATGGTTCGTCGGTTTTAGATGAAATTAAGTACATATATAGACAGTAACCTGAAATATCACATAGACCACTGCTAGTAATAAAATTTGACTGTTAGTAATAAATACTATACTTAAAAGGTATCTGGTATTCTATAATTTAGAAGGTAGAGCAAAGGAAAATCTTAAATCCTAAAAATTATGAAAAACCCATTCTTCTACCTTTACAGTAGGTATAAGTATGTTTTTAAAGTACCACTTAGACAGTAATATTTTACGAGTGTTTTTCATAATGAATTTAAATTAGTTAATTCATTCAGTTCATTAATACCTATACACATACCTGCATAAGCTCCTACAAATATGTATTATTAAAATAATACATATCGTAATTCATTAATTATGTATTCGTCATTTTATTTTCCTCAAAAGTACAACTAACAAAGCACTTTGTTATACTGTTTGTTGAAACTTTGAAGACAGATTACTCTTCTAATATAATTACTAGCAGTTCACTGACAGGAAAAGTTGGACTACATCAGCGTCTGGTATGTACAAAGTTTCTGTAAACCATTAACAATAAATACGTTATATTGTGTTGTTATTTACATTTTTTTTTTATTTTATTCAATTCATATCTAATTTTAAGAATAGTTGGCATATCGATTTATACCTTCCGATAGAGCTTACATGAGCAGCCATATAAATACTTAAATTTTAATGCCTTATAAAAAGGCTGGTTTCAATATTATAAACATACTAGCGACTCACCCTCGCTTCGCTCGGGTTCTTCCCTGGGGTGGGGTATGGGAGGACCACCCTTATCCTTATCACTTAGGGGTATGTAAAATAGATAGTAGCCGATTCTCAGACCTACTGAATACGCATGTAAAATTTGGTAAATTTATTAAATTTATTTATATATAAGATTTTGTAGTTCTTAATGAGGTTTTAAAAACGAAATTTTAAGATTAAGTAATTATTATTATCAATTTTGAACACGAAATGAGGTAATACTACTTACTTAAAAGTTAAAACCTTATAAAAACTCGTTCTTCTAAATCTATATTACCTATATACTACAAAACCTACATACTTTAAAAATTACACCGACCCTGTAAAGGCCCTTAGGCAAATACATCAATTTGATAAAAGTAAAAGTTCTAAGAAAGTATAAAAAGTAAAAGTAATTACTTTTCAAATTTACATTACAATTATTACCGTTCCATTAGGGAATACACACATAATAAAATAGGTCACGAGCTTGAGTTTAAAATATAAAAAAATATATTTGAGAATAAAATACGAAATTTAAGATTACATGATGGAAAGAGGCACTTTTTTTACAGTTAGACTTTTCAATATTTATTCCCATAATTACATTGATAATTTAATCAATCGTTGAATAATTATAAATACAATGGTGCCCCATTGTATGTTGTATGTTATTAATTTTGCTCTACCAACTATACGGAAGTATTAGGATGAGATTCCCTTACTAATTTTATGAAAAAATTTGCAGATAATGTGTGTATTATAAAAGAAAATGAAAAACGTAGAAATCACAATATTCTCTCACTCTTACAAACTTGAAATACTTGACCAAGACCTAATTTACTATGGTGCCAACCCGCACTTGGCCAGCGTGGTGGACTATGGCCTGATCCCCCTCGTATTGAAGGGAGGCCTGTGCCCAGCAGTGGGACGTTAAAAAGGACTGAATACATACATATGTTAGATACAGTGGTCAGTGGCATACTAATTAAATATCTAGTGTATAACAAACGCAAAAAGCTTATGATCATAGCGTCTTTCTAATGCACGTATAGTATATTAATAAACGTTAAGATGCTTTATAATACTTTATTAAAACGTAACTCTCTAAATAATATTACTTGTTGAACAAAAACCTTCTTACGTGTTACTTTGTATCATGATTCGGTTGAGTACTTTCTTTCATTATGTAACTCTCGAATTCGCTCGACTTAACTCTCATACTGCGCCCGTCTAATCTTTTGTTAGCCACTTGCCTTTACGATTTCTTTTAAGGTATTTTATTTGCATCATAAGAACATGGTTATTTTACGATCCTCTTACTTATCCGTGTATATAAAGTTGTAAACCTGGTTACATCATGATGTCTAAACTTATTTCTCTTGATTTTGCCTGTTAAAGCAATATGAAAACAGTTTTACGATTAATAATAAAATTTAACGGTTAATGTAAACGTTTGTGTTTATGATAAAATATACATCTATTTCGACAATGAAAGTAGATTAAAAAAAACCCAACTAGTTTTAAAACCGATATTATAATATTATTATGAGTCCTGATAAGATTCAATAATTTTTAAAGAGGCTTCCCTTATATGTATAAATATTTATCAATTTCTAACTTCGTTTATAACTTCGAGATATTCCTTGCATATAGTCTTATATTCAGTACTTTTGCAATATCTACTAAGTCTTTTATAATCGTCAGTTTATCTGTCCGTGTGGAAGCTACCATCGGCTCGGAAAGCATTTCTGCTGAGAAGAGCTGGTGAGAAACTCAACAGTTGCTCTATCACATAATTTATGATAATAATTTACAATATTACAAACAATTCCTGACTAATCACTACAAGGTGGTTACGACATCTCTGTGAAAAAGCACAGGAAAATATATATAATATATAATAAATTATTATTTTTCTAAATAAATTCCTATCGGCCAAGGTCCCACAACTAAACGTCTTATACAAAAATCATTACAAATGAATCCAATATATAATTTTCCATTAAAACGCTCATATATAAAAATGCTACCTTACAATACCATAATATATATGGGCAATTATTTACAAGGCATAAAAAATTACATAGGTAATTATAATAGCACACCAGCTGTTCCAAAACCAATTAACTGGATATGCTCTACCTATACAACATTTTCTCTATATTTGGTTGGAATGTTGGCTGAATGTGAATATACTAAAAATATAATTTTATATCATATAATTAAAACTAAATTAATAATAATAAATTAAATTTATTAATAAACAAATAACACTTATTAATAATATTGTCTTTTTGTGGATCATTTTAATAAATAAATTATTTATTTTCGTTGAACTATAAATATACTTTATTCAATTACACTATTTTACACAGTAGTAAACACATCTATTCTGTAGTTAATAGTAAACAGGCTTTATGATTCGGCTGGCTAACGTACGCCACGTAAAAGCTGTTGATTTGATTGAAACTTAGTGTGAATTAGGGCAAGATATTCGTATTAATACTATAAATGTGAAAGTTTGTGAGTATGGATATTTCTTACTATTTCACGCCAGAACGGTTGAAGGATCTGAATGGTAATTTGGCACAGAGATAGATAGATAAAGTCTTTAATAACACATAGGCTACATTTTATTTCGAAATAATATACGCTTCCCGTGGGATAAGTTTGTTTTTGTTTTCCTAGGCGAACCCGAGCGAAGCGAGAGTGAGCCTCTAGTAATGATTGTAAAGGTTTATTATTTGATAGTAAAATATTAATTTTAGCTAACTTATCTAAAAAATATATAAGTTCTTAAAAGAATATATAAGATTTTTTAAAGAACAATAAAGGTTTATGTGACTAAAGTGCATGTTAAGGTATTTCTGGCGAATGCAAAAGTTTTATGAATATAACGGTGCTATAACGTACTATTTTTTATACGATTTTAAAGTAATTATTTGAATTAAATTTTCCCATATTATTCACTATATATAATACTTTTGCATAGATTTCTTTGCTACTTAACCCCCATGAAAATGAAAATTCGCTTTGACATGCGCTATCCATGGACATTAACACCATGGTCATATTTTAAAATATAATGTATGTATATCTTTTCATTTTCACAAACTTTTACACTAACATTGTAAAATGAATCGATGTACTCAGTAGTATTCTTTCGAAGTAATCCCCGAGTTAGAAAGTGCTGAGCAAGGCCCATCAATACACAATATCTTCATCTCACTGCGTCATGTGTATAATAAACCTACATATAATAAAATTGTAACGAGGTCAAATTTGTAGCGTATACATTGAACTTTTACTTATACTTTTTAAATTTATGTTTAAAATATATGTGATGTCCAATAAAAGCTAATTACAATTTTAGAGTTTTGTCAGTTTTTTTAATCGTG